TTCAAAACATCCAGAGTATGTTTTTAAACTAAAGAAATGACTATATGGTCTGAAACAAGCTCCCAGAGCTTGGTATGAAAGACTAAGTAGTTTTCTGCTAGAAAATGATTTCACTGGAGGGAAAGTGGACACAACCTTATCCTGTAAGCCATTTAAAAATGACATTATATTTGTCAAATTTATGTAGATGATATTATTTTTGGATCTACTAAAGCCTCTCTGGGAAGAAAATTTGCTAAGTCCATGAAGGCAGAGTTTGAAATGAGCTTGATGGGAGAACTCAAGTTCTTTCTAGGCATTCAGATTAAATGATTCTCAAAAACGTGCTTTCACTAGAATAGAAGATGAATCCGTGAATCACTCTTTTTTTTAAATGTAATGTTGCAAAACTTATTTGGCAGGATATTGCGTAGTGGATCAGTTTTTCGAATTGTTTGGAGGATGATTCGAAAGGGAGTTTTGTGATTTGGTACAAGTACTGCAAGTCTAAAAAGGTGAATAAGGGAAAAGAATATTGCATATGGATGGCTATTACCTGGAATATTTGGATTCTAAGGAACAAAATTGTTTTCCGTAACGATAGTTGCAATGTCCTTGATGTTGTTTGGAACATTAAGGCTACTGTTTGGAGATGGTCTAGGTTGGGTGAAATTACTCATCCCAATTGTATTTTTTAGGAGTTTAGCAAAGATACTTTGTTCTTCTTATCTTAGGTTCAATTGGTCGGTAATTTCTCTTTTTGGCGAGTTGTTTTGCTCGTTTCATTGTGTATTCAGATTGGCGAACCCTTAGTGCTCTTTTTCTAATATATCTTACTTACACAACAAAATTATTGATTTTAGTCCCTTCATTTTAAAAATTGACTTTTATAGTCTCTTTATTTATTTTTTTTTGGGATTTTAGTCCCTTTCATATCATTCTACAACAAATGGTCCATAACTATGACCAATAAATGGGCTTGAGTCAATCTATTATTGGGTCATGAGAAGAGCTATTGGACGGCCAAAGAAGAACCGTAACAAAGTAAATGATGAGTCTAAAAACACAAATACTTTGTTTTGAATTCTTCAAACACCTAAATGCCAAAAATACGGAAATATGAAACATAACAAACAAATATATAAAGATAAAAGAGCGTTGAGAGAGTAATACCAAAAATTAATGTATTTCAAAATTATAAATCTTAATGATTTATCATAATATTTTAGTTTCACTATATATGTAATTTCTTCAAAGTCATATTAACTCAGAGTATATTATAGAGAAAAATTATTATTATAATTACGAAGTATCTTACCTGGAGGTCACCGAAAAACAGAACATGGTGCCTGCTCTGATGCCAATTGAAATTCTGACACACTAGCTAGATGTTAAGACTGATGTTACAACACCAAAAACACAATGTAAATAAAGATGTTAAGATATTGTATTACTGACAGACAAATTTACAAAAACAATAAATCATGCAGAAAGTAAATTGCAGAAGATAAATAACACAGTCAAATGTTAACCTAGTTCGGTGCAACTTCACCTAATCTGGGGGGGGGGGACATCCAAGCAAGGATGGAAATTAATTATAATAGTATTAGTTCAAAGCTTAAACAAAATAATTTACAACTTATCACATAATCACTACCCATGCAATTTCTACCTAGGAACCTCCTAGATATGAGAACCTCCTCTCACTTCCCACAATCACCTCAGTGACAATACCAATGACCAAAATAGAAGAACACACTTCCAATTAAATAGATTACACTATTTTCTTAAAAGCTCATGAGTGAATCACAATGAAAAATGAACAATTAGTCAACCTTAATGCATCAAACAAGATACATGAGTAACATAAAAAAAACAAAGAACAGTGAAAAACTCTCAAACCCTAAATACTCTTGAATAAAAACTTCCCTTTTTTCACACTTTGCATTAGGTTTAGGTTTTTTCTTTTAAACTTCTCAGTTATCATGGGCTTTGTATTCTCCACTCAATTTGTTGTAGATCCACAAACGGATGGCTGCACAAATTGTGTATAAAAGATCTCCTTGAAATATGAAACAAAAACATCACAAGTTTCCTAAATTGTCTCAACATCCAATTTTAGAAACTAATACACAGTTAGAGATAAAATTACTTATACCTAAAATAACCCTTTTTGATTTGTGAAAATATGTGAGATAAATCAATTGAGAATCTCGAAAAAATCAAATCAGAACCATCAAGAAGCAACAGTAAAGCCTGATAAATAAAGTGATCAACATGTTATGACATCTTGCTAAACATCTGGCTGTGACACATGTTTTATCAAAATTATTGTCAATCACAAAATCACAAACCTTTCAAATTTTTCAACTTGGGAGTCGAGATTAGCAAAATCCTATTTATTACATATTTTATAACAACTTTGAGGGCTTTAAACTTCTCCAACAAAACAAACACTTTCCAACCATAAAACTTAGTTGTACTCCATAAAGAAGTCACTAACTCAAAAAGACTACTACGAAGTGGCCGATTACTATTAAATCTAAAATATTTGAATCCCTCCATTCGCTAGGCCGAGTTACATTCTCTAATTGATTGAACTCTAAACCATCAATTTTCTTGAACATATAATTTTTTCTAACCAACCATATAAATATCACTAATGAAACTACCCTTCCAAATATAATATACATTATTTTTTGACTATTTTTATTGTCTGTATAATTATGAGTCATACACTTTTAAAAACTGATAAATTATTAAAATTTTTTTTTTCAAAAATAAGAAAATCTAATTAAATTTTTTTTTAAAAATTTAAACACTGTATCTCAACATTAAAAATGACTCTATAAAGTAGGTATTTTTTATATAATTTTTTTTTTGAAAAATAGAAAAGTCGAGCTTTTAAAATAATATATTTAAGCATTGTATCTGAACATTAAAAACAATTCTATAGAATAGATATCCCTATTCAAATCATATTTTTTCTTATGAAGATAAATTATCTAAAAAATGTAACAGAAAATATTTTAGAATGAATTAAAAATATATATTTTATAAAATAAAGTTAAATTAAAATAAAATGTATTTAAAGAAAATTTTCAAAACACACCTTTAAAAAACCAATATTTCACATAAATAAAAAAGAAAATAATGTTAAATATTTTTCAATGACGATTATGTTGACAACCTTTTCAAAATACCTTGTTTAAAAAAAGAAAATCAATACGTCATATTAAAAAAAGTTTAAAAAAAAAACTTAATTGCAATTTTTTTCTTTCTATTATTTTGGCTTCAAATTTTCTTTCGCCTAATAGGGAAAAGTAAGGGATTTTTTTTTGAAATTTCTTTTGGTTATAATTCTAAAAGGCTTTTGACTTGGAGTTTCCTTTTGAATAAAATTAAGAGGTGTCTTTCGGGGTAGAAAACTTGGTTCCTTAATCTTGGTGGAAGGATCACTCTTCTTAAATCCGTATTATGCTTCTTATCAGTATTTACTATGTCTTTTTACAAAATACCGATGAATATCGCAAAAGATATTACTAAGTTCCAAAGCAACTTTTTTGTGGGGGGATCGGAGGATAAAAGGAGGATACACTGGATTAGTTGGAAAGATGTTTGTCTTCCTATTAATAAAGGTGGAATTGGTCTTAAAAGTATAGTAGATTTTAACTTGGATCTTCTCAATAAATGGAGGTGGCGAGTTCTAAAAGATTCAAATTCTTTATGGTACAATGTTTTGAGAGCGCGTTATGGTGACATTTGCTTGCAGGTTCTCTGTAGTAAAGTTCCTAAAATTGCTCCTTTCTCCATTTTCTCTTGGTGGAAGGATCTAATTTCCTTGAACAAGAAGAAGAGTGATGATGTATTTGTCAAAAATTGCAGTTTTGAAATAGACAGAGGATTCACTACGACATTTTGGCATTCTGCCTGGATACAGGATACGATTTTGAAGAATTTTTTCCTGCTCTTTTCTCTGCTTCTCTGTTACAGGTTGTATCGGTTGCTGGGATGGGGGCTTGGAGTAATGATGTTTGGCTTTAGGGAGATTTCGGTATCCCCCAATCTATAGCGTTGCAGTTCGGCCTAGAAGACGATATCTTGAAGTTGTGGTCTCTGTTACATGGTTTAACTTGCAGGCCGGTTGGGAATGATTTGGTGAGATGAAATTTAGAAGATAATGATGATTTTTGTATCAGCTCCTGTTACGTAGCTTTAGCAGACCCGAAAATCCCTTATGGCCCATTTAATAAATTTGACAAAGCTTTACAATGGGTGTGAGAAGTGGTGGTTTCGTTTAAGAATAAAGCTTTCGGTGGAGATTTCTTGTCAATAGGCCCCCGACCAAGGATCTATTGAAGCTTAGAGGTATCGTTCTCCCTGTTGTTTCTCAAAAATGTACTTTCAGTGGAATAAAAGATGAATATGTGAATCACTCTTTTTTTAAATGTAATGTTGCAAAACTTATTTGGCGGGATACTGCAGAGTGGACCAATTTTTCGAATTGTTTGGAGGATAATTCGAAAGGGAATTTTGTGATTTGGTACAAGTACTGCAAGTCTAAAAATGTGAAGAAGGGAAAAGAAGATTGCATATGGATGACTATTACCTGGAGTATTTGGATTATGAGGAACAAAATTGTTTTTCGTAACGATAGTTGGAATGTTCTTGATGTCGTTTGGAACATTAAGGACACTATTTGGAGATGGTCTAGGTGGGGTGAAATTACTCATCCCAATTGTAATTTTTAGGAGTTTAGCAAAAATCCTCTGTTCTTCTTATCTTAGGTTCAATTGGTCGGTAATTTATCTTTTTGACGTGTTGTTCTGCTCGTTTCATTGTGTATTCAGGTTGGAGAACCCTTAGTTCTGTTTTTCTAATATATCTTACTTACACAAAAAACATTATCGATTTTTGTCCCTTCATTTTAAAAATTAATTTTTATAGTCTCTTTATTATTTCATTTTTTTTGGATTTTAATCCCTTTCATATCATTATGCAACAAATGGACTTGAGTCAATCTATCCTTCCGTCATGAGAAGAGCTATTGGACGGTCAAAGAAGAACAATAACAAAGTAAATAATGAGCCTAGAAACACAAATACTTTGTTGAGAATTCTTCAAACACCGAAATGTCAACTTTTGTTAATTATTAATTCCCTTTTTTTTCTCTTCTTGTATGCATGAATTATAAATTAAATTGAAATGAAAGAAAGAATTAAAAAGGCAGAACGTGATTATTTATATTTGTTACATATATTTATTTTGGAGTAACATAACAAGTAGTAATTCAACTAGCATAGGTACAAACACACATCTTTATACCATTAGGATAATCAAAACAAATCCCATCAGGTTCTCTATCTCGATATTGAACCTCACATTTTGCATCGCATTCAGGTTTACCACCATTGCATGATCCCAGTGTAATGCTACATCTTTGCTTGTGTTTGGAATTATCAATATTGTAAGTACATGTGCATAGGTTGTAATCATCACAATACCACGATATATTACCATCGGTTGGTAGAGAATTACAATAATTCTCACAGTTTCGTACATTGCAATACTCATTTGCTAATGTGCAGAACCCTGCTTCTACTGTTAATTGCACTATATATCATCATGTAAAATAAATTATATTAATTTCAAAATATAAATAATAGCTTAATGGTTTGAGAGACTAGTTATTACCTGCTGCAATTGATGCTACCATGACAAACAAAATCAAAGAGTTAGCCATTTAGATGTTGAATACAGACAACAAAAGATATTTGGTATCTCTCTGTCTATATCTTTCTCAATTTATACTGCTGTCTCAAGGATTAAACAACTCAACTTTTCTTTCAAATATATTATTAAATTAAAACAGGTTTAGATATTCCATATATATTTGGATTTTTAGTAATATACTAAATTTTTGTTCAAGATAAGAATGAGGATGGTGAAAAAATTATTAGTAATAAATTTTTGTTCAAGATAAGAATGAGGATGGTGAAAAAATTATTACTAATATATATGATTTCTATAAATAAATATTTGACTAATATATATGAATGTATACATCCGGAACAATCAATTATAATTATCAAATAAATATTAAAGTTTTGTTCAAGATAAGAATATGGTGAAAATATTATGATTCATAAAAATTATGGAAAATTTAACTTGGAATTCATTATAGAAATCAAAGTTCCTTATATGAGTTTATACAATAAATTAAGCAGTTAATATTATTAAATCGAATATTTGGTGTCTAATGTTTGAACTTAAAATTCTCTCAAGTCACCTCTTCTTCATTTCATTCAGTTTACTTTGAAGTATAAATATTTATTTTTTTTTGGATTTTGTCCCTCTATTTTTTTTATAAGAAATAATTTTTTTCTTTCAATTAAAATTGTCTGTTTTTTAGTGAAACATTACTTATGAGGAAAAGTTTGTAAGTGATCGTGTAGTTGTTTAATTCTTGAGAATTTGGTACTTTTGGGAAATTGAGATTGATTCATAAGATAAATCGGTCACCAAATTTATGTATTGGTTTCTTGAGCTTTGTCGAAAAAAGCTCTATTTGATTATTGAGATAAGCCTAAAAATTTCTAAGCGATTTGTTAGCTTAGCCTAGATTAAAAGCTATCTTTGGTTGGAGATAATCCTGTAAAATCTCAAGATTAGGTTCTATTAAAGTTTGTGGGCATAACATGTAAAAGCTCAAAGTTTATAGTAAAAATCTCAAGAAGATCCACTACGCCAAAAAAGACCTTCGAAAACGCTTTTTTTGGCCTTTAAAAGCGCTTTCTAAGGTGGCGCTGCTATAGGTTTTAGCAGCGCTTTTTGTTTAATGAAAAGCGCTTTCATAGGTCTACCTATGACAACGCTTTTTCTAAAAAGCGCTCTCTTAAGTACCCTTTTGGCAGCGCTTTTTCTAAAAAGCGCTCTCTGAAGTAACCTTTTGGCAGCGCTTTTTCTAAAAAGCGCTCTCTTAAGTAGGCTTTTGGCAGCGCTTTTTTATGAAGAAACGCTTTCATTGGTGGCGCTTTTTTCTGGAAAAGAGCTTTCATAGGTTGTCTTTTAGCAGCGCTTTTGCCTGTAAAAGCATTGTCATATGTTTACCTTAGACAACGCTTTTTGTGAAAAAACGCTTTCATAGGTTACCTAAGGCAGTGTTTTTCTTCAAAAAGCGCTTTCATATGGTGTTTTTTTTAGTGGTATAATTTATATAATTCATATACCTACATTGTTTGCAGCATATTATTTATATAAACCATAACCTGTAATTCATAAACTGCGATAATGCATTGTATACCATTGTAATCCAAAATACATATACACCGTATTTGTACCGCAAAATATATATAAACCATTGATATCAGCATTGTAACTCAAAATCAGTCTTACAAAATCAACCCTAACAACAACTAAATCAGTTCTTATATGATTCTCTTCTCAATAAAATATTGACACAATTCCTCTTTGATTTCTTCCAACTGAAGTTTCGTGTAATATGCACATTTGTACTCATCGAAGTACTACATAACAAAACATAATATGCATGATTTAGTTAAAAGTAAAAAATTATATGAAATATCCGAGAAATAATAAAACAAATCCTAAGTTATAAATCCATACCGTGACTGGAATCTCTATTTCATTCAGTTGAATGATTTCTTTGATAAACCGCATAACGAAGTATCCGCAATCTATATTGTTTTGTTGTTAAGGACACTACATATAAAAACAAATAAGAATATATAGTTGTATTGTTTTATCAAATAGCATAAATATTATAAGCAAAATAGTGGAAATTAATATACCTGCACTTTGATCCAATTAATGTTGTTTGATTTAGACCGTCGTACCCGAGCTTCTCTTTGACACCGGAATACTTGTATCGCTCTAACAAAATAAAAATATATATTTAGAACAATGTCATAGAAATAATTAAATATATAAACACACACAAGTATTTAGAATAATCTCACTTACGTATCAATCATTAACTTCATATCCGGATAATTTGTCCAATCACCGTCAACCGAATTCAGATAATAGACCATTTCTTTTATAGGATCGATAGCAACCAACAACCAGTGACGTCTATAAATTAAAATAACAGTTTAGAAGAAAATTTTCTACGCAAAAATTACAAATATTAAAATGAACTTAGAATGAAAATCTAACCCTGTAGGAATAGTATTATACGCCCAAAGATATAAGCTTTCTGTACTGCCAGTTGCCATGAATCTTTCGACTAAGTGCTCTCTTACTGATTCTGGTTCCCTACCAATTGTCGCTCCGCTGACACGGGAGGAAGACACGAAATGGAATCTGTTTGACAATTGATTCCCGCGCATCAATTTGTCGTATAACAGCCTTAAATAAAAACATAATTAATATTAGACTATATTCATTGAAATGTTTAAAAAAGATTTCAGCTAATTACATAATATAAAGATGAGGGTTACCGGATGTATGCGTGCATAATACTGACGCCCAATTCTTTATGATGGAAAATCTGTTCCACGTCCTCATGTCCAATTATTTCGGTTCAAGGAAAACCAAAGATACCTTAATCCATATCCATTTGACGAATACCACCATCCATCAAATCTGTTGTTCCCACTATTGTTTCAAGACACTGCCGGTATCGAGGGAAAAATCTAGTAGGCACCCTTTTCTTGGGTGGTACGCCAACGATCTTCTGGCTCACTTGTTGTGACGCTTGAAAAGGTACCTAAAAATCATATAGACTCAGTTAAATTATAAAATTATGTAGTTTTTTATTCGGATCATATAATTAACACTTTAAACGTACCTCTTTTTGTGATACATCAGACTGGTCGTGCCGCAAAATCCCTTTACCCTTAGATGCAGGTGTTGTAGGAGTCTATAATTACTGTGGAAATAACTGAGGTCAGAACTGACAGTTGAATACTTAAAGATTCATAATTGTTTTCAACATACCTGATCATCTATGAAAATGAGGTCCGATGGCCATGTAACAAAAGATCCTATTGCATCTCGCAGCAATGTGGTCTCAGCAACAATGTCGGGTACCGGCAGCAACGCATCCATATCTAAAGCAATGTCAACCGATACTTTCATGTGTCCATCCGGAAGCGGTCTATGGTGAAGTAAATCTCCCGAAGTGTTATGGATTTTTCCCTTGCCAACTAGTCGATAAGTCGACGACGATAGGTATAGCTGGCAAGATGAAATGCCCTGAACCAATAATAACCGTTAGAAGTGACTAAAAATATTCTATAATAATAACGGATATATATTGAAAATTACCTCGGGAAATTTATGCTGACAGTTGATACTAGCTTTGTCACTAGTTTCTTTCAATTGTGAACTGCTCTTTTCCGCCATATATCTCTCTTTATCCTTCTGCAATTCACGGACTTGAGCTTGTAAATCCTGCAATGTTTGCATCACTTCTGCATTGCTAGGATTTCTTCTCCTTGGATGCTTATACAAAGAGCTTGTAAAAGATATTTGGTATCTCTCTGTCTATATCTTTCTCAATTTATACTGCTGTCTCAAGGATTAAACAACTCAACTTTTCTTTCAAATATATTATTAAATTAAAAGAGGTTTAGATATTCCATATATATTTGGATTTTTAGTAATATATTAAATTTTTGTTCAAGATAAGAATGAGGATGGTGAAAAAATTATTAGTAATAAATTTTTGTTCAAGATAAGAATGAGGATGGTGAAAAAATTATTACTAATATATATGATTTCTATAAATAAATATTTGACTAATATATATGAATGTATACATCCAGAACAATCAATTATAATTATCAAATAAATATTAAAGTTTTGTTCAAGATAAGAATATAGTGAAAACATTATGATTCATAAAAATTATGGAAAATTTAACTTGGAATTCATTATAGAAATCAAAGTTCCTTATATGAGTTTATACAATAAATTCATTATAGAAATCAAAGTTCCTTATATGAGTTTATACAATAAATTAAACAGTTGAATATTATAAATCGAATATTTAGTGTCTAAACTTAAAATTCTCTCAAGTCACCTCCTCTTCATTTCATTCAGTTTACTTTGAAGTATAAATATTTCTTTTTTTGGATTTTCTCCCTCTATTTTTCTTTTTCTTTTAAGAAATAATTATTTTCTTTCAATTAAAATTGTCTGTTGAAGAGTTTGGAAGTGATCGTGTAGTTGTTTAATTCTTGAGAATTTGGTACTTTTGGGAGATTGAGATTGATTCGTAAGATAAATCGGTCACAAAATCTATGTATTGGTTTCTTGAGCTTTGTCGAAAAAAGCTCTATTTGATTATTGAGATAAGCCTAAAAATTTCTAAGTGATTTGTTAGCTTAGCCTAGATTAAAAGCTATCTTTGGTTGGAGATAATCCTGTAAAATCTCAAGATTAGGTTGTATTAAAGTTTGTGGGCATAACATGTAAAAGCTCAAAGTTTATAGTAAAAATTTCAAGAAGATCTTTTGAGGACAATGTCGCGGTGTGAAAAATAATCGGGCGTTCGAACTCTCAAAACACAGAAGAGTCACCACCGAAGTTTATTTTTGAAAGGGAAAACATCAATAAATCCTAAAAGAACAAAAAAAATAGGTCGTTGCAACCAAATTCAAATTCGGGAGTCGGTTATGGGAAGAAAAGGTATTAACATCTCTCACATCAGTTGTACTCAATAAGAACCATTTAGTTAGTTTTGTAAATAAGTGTTAGCGTGATGTGATTTGTTTT